GAAGCTAATTGGATTGAAAAAAATGAGGTTACAGCAAATTTACTTGATAAAATTCACTTAAAATCACACTATAAATGGGTATTGAAGATTAATATTTAATTTTGACTAACATCTGGAATCGCCGTTAGGTAAAAACATGTGTATATAATAAAATTTACGTCAAATTTTCCTATCATTTTTTCACTGAATCTAACTATTAATGATTATTGAAGATAAGAAATTTAATTCAGTCTTATAACAGAGTTTGAACGCGTGACAGAAGACAATGAGCGCCATCTCGGACCTCCACTCAGGTTTTTATTGCTGAAATTACCAGGTAACGACACCTACGCGGTCTATTAACGGCCCGCATTATCGTATCACAGAATCTGAAAATATTCCTGACATTTTCTATGTGGAAATTATAGGCGGTGCGAAGGTGGTCATAAGAAACCAGAGACTCAATCTGCCCAGAGACACAATCAGAGACGAAAATTATTTTATCAAGCAGTTAATGGTTCAATTAGACAATTATGGTAATTTATCAAAGGGTCTTTTTAATTAAACGTACAATACAATAAATGCGACTACAGTCTAACTTACGGCCAAGCTTGTTTCTTTTCTGATTTTTTATAATCGTTTAACGGACAATAAATCTTGTGTAAAAATCCCGTTAAATGTTGGTCATATTTCTACATCGAAATAAAAAATTTCCGCGATAATGAATATGCCGACTGAAAGGACATAAATCAACAAACGCTTCGTTACCCTAAGAATTAGAGGCACCTTTTGAACCATTCAGTAATATTAATTATACATAATCCGTAGCCACAGATTCAGTGCTCTCTTATAAACGCCGATAATTATTGGAAGAAGGAAGACCGGCCAAAATCGATTTTTCATCTGAATATTTGAGATAGTTTGGTAATGGTGCATAATATACGATTTTACGGCCGTTTCAAAATTTTTGAGAAATCAATGATAATGTCTTCATTGGATATATTGTGATGAAGCTTTTGTAGAGTATTTTTCAACGTGGATAAGCACTGATAAACCTGGTATACTTTTTTTATTTTAAACAATTTAATGCATTTACAACTACTGGTTTAAGCGTGAAATTACTAATACAATTAATTTTCAAATAAACAGTAACAAAATTTACTATCGCTTGCAAAACTGTAAATTTGTAATAATATGTTGCTTAGAAGCAGACTAAACGGAATAAATGAGTTAAATAGACGTCGTTAATTATTTTCCTTTGCTGTTTAGGAATTTCATCTAAATTAAGGGCCTCAATAGGACTAATCTGAGAGGATCGGAGGCCAGACGTGGGCTATTAAATAAGATTAAAATGTTTATTTGGCAGGACTGAACACGGCAAAGGGAGAACAGTGCTTTTAAATTTTGTAAATCGTGAGCCATGGTTTTTGTTACTATCAAATTGCGTAATTATGCAAGTACTGTTAATGAACGAGAAAATTTCATTTGCTTCAGGTGCGGCAAGAAGAAAGCTTCATAAGTAAGAAATTTAGGTTTTTCTAAATTCACTTAATTTAAGTTACATGCCTGCAATTTCTCTGAAATTGGTATCCAAAGACGGAAGTAATGACAGAAATTTCATAACTCTATTCATTTCTGTTTTGCTTAACAGCTTATTAGCAACTAGTGATTCAAAATTGTAAATTTTGCGCTTAGAAAGCTTCCTGAATCCTGTATCTCGGCACTGGCTCAACAAAAATCCGTTAAATTGAGCGAAAGATTTTGCTACTTCTAAAATGTGCGAATTGAAGAATGTTAAACCTCTTGAAATTTTCTATTCGATCATCTAGATGCGTTCAATTTACGCCCACATGTATTTGTTACGTGGTGGTAGCAATGATGAATTTAAAGTTGGATTACGACTCCTAACAGTTATAAGAGACCTCGTCTTTCTTTATCATTATGACATCATCACTACAGTAATCGACGGTCATTGCTTTTTCATTCAAGCATTGCACGGCAGAGGCAATTTCACATTAATTTTTTTAATGTATGCAGGTTACACATGTTATTATTTGTGCTCTAAATTCATTATTTGTACAGTATCACGCGAAATTAATTTAGACTTTTAACTTTGAATTCCAATCTACAAATATTCTCATATGTGTTTTTTTTTAGATAAAACATTTTTTAAGCAATTTTGATTTCCTAAGCCATATAGTTAATAGTGGTTTATATTTTGCTATAGTTTAGCACCTCTGTTAATTCACTCTTTGAATCATTGGAGGTAATTACGAGGAATGTTTCAAGCATTTTATGATATTTATTCAAGTATACGTTGTTGATTATCGCAGCCAATAAATACCTGGAGCAATCACGTATTATATTAAAAAAACGTAATAAATTTAAACTTATTCCATTTGCATATCTATGAATAATTCTTATCTTATAAAACATTTCGAGAGATTCGAGCTCGATAGAACTAGGGAAGAATAATACAACTCAACATAAATTCAAATACAGTACAAATTGGCAAACATTAGAGCTGAACTTTAATGGAATAAATGAAGTTCAGTTACAAATGTTCGAGGATGTAATAATTCCCTAAACATTTAACTAGATACAGAACACTGCCTGTATCCTAATTATTCAGCTTTAATCGTTCATTAATAACAACTTGACAGTAGTTTGAGAGAATTATACATGATATGACTGTGCAACTTATAGCGATAATTTGCATGTTCAGATAGGAATGCTCTTTCGGGAAGCCATTACTTCGATATTAGGCAGGAAGAGCTTTTTTTGGCGATGCCCAATGCATAGATCTCATTTAGATGCTCAATGATCTCATTTAGAACTTGGGTGGTGAGTGGCAAATATGACACGGCTAGTGAAACATATAGGTAGCTAGATCCGCCTATATATAGCCTCTAGCCTTGGGAGCTAGATACGGCTAATGTCAAGCCTAGGTAGCTAGACACGGCTTCGTTTCTATTCGGCACGATTTGTATCGATATCTAGGCACATCTAGCTAGTGGCTCGTCTCGGTAGCTAGACACAGCTAGTGCCTAGTCTAGGTAGATAGACTCACCATAGTGTCTAGTGAGTGTAGCTAAACACAGTTCGTGTCTAGTCTAAGTAGCTAGACACGGCTAGAGTCTATTCTAGGTAGTTAGAAACGATTTGTGTCTATCCAATAAAAGATTTACTAGTATTGCTCATAAAATATATCAACTTGTCACCATGATCTTGGAACGCAGAAATCGCGTAATAACAAATCAATGTTATTTTAATGAATCATGTGCCAAATATTTCATGTTGAAATAAAACTAGCATCTATGAAAACAAATGCCGAACAACAGCGGCGCATAACTGTAATAACTTCAATAACATTGAATGGTAGCAGCAAAGGCTTAAATTTACGTGAAAATCTTTTCAACCTCTCAATGCATTTTGCGCGGCAGCTCTGTTATCAAACCTGACGCTATAATTCAAATCTTCTATTCAAAATAACAATCGTGACTGGCCCAACAGTACCTCCGTAGAATGAAATAATACCTGTGATACAACCTAACTGCATGGGTACTCCGTGATTGGACTTACCAGCTCTAAAACGCGACGATATGATAATATTTATTTTTTAGAGACCATAGATGATCTGATGCGTTATTGCAACACATGTCGGGAACCTCAATTTGTCCGACAGTAACATACTGCCTGAGCCCGTAGCCTGTATATAGCAGTTTAGTTCGGTCCAACCTACCTGTCTCTGGCAATCAATATCAAGAGGGCATTTTATCCACAACGCAATCAAGCTCCCTCTCTTATCCGAGTATTGTTTACTTGCCATGTCTATCTCTTTCTTAATAAACTTTTTCTTAACTTTCGCCGACTTCAAGAAGTTGGTACAATTAATTCGTAATTTATTCAATTAATTCGTCATTTAACAATTAATTTTGTCATTTATTCAATCTTCATCAACCGCCACAACACAGGCTATACGGATAGCAACACCGGCAATAGAGCCCCAAGTTAATTTGTGCCGTCTGTTTACCCTGTTACTCTCAGCGACGGATGCATAACAAATATGTCGATCAAGATTCACTAAAACGAGCAGACTTCAAGCAAAAGAAATTAATCGCTAAGAGACATATGTTAAAATGTATCTAATCAATTGATTCAGCTTCACGAATATATTTTTATTGGTCAACTAGTTTTTAAGTGTGAGATGGTATACATCTTACATTTGATTTGCTTGAATTAATTGAAAAATTTGTGCTGGTCGTTGCCTTTTTATTCGTTTTCGGCTTGATAAGAAGGCTGGATTAGACATAATCATATTTTTACTTTGCTGCAATTTTCCAGACCATGCCATCCTTATTGAATTTAAGACAATTTATCCCGAAATGTTTTCCTTAAATATGAAGTGGAATAATATTACTTTTTAAACAATCTTATGTTGGGTTGTGGTTCGATCTATAACGTAATAGACTCTTAATTAAGAAATTATTTTCTAGTCCTGACCGAACTTTTTGATGTCACTAACGTCGCATTTTACAAAGCTCAGTCATTTCTTAGCCCAGCACACATTAAATGCAAGTTTTGATACGACCCATTATATTTTTGGTTCTATCCTCCATTAATAATTAATTTGTGGTCTAACGTACCTGTAGACGGGCGTGCCCGACGTACCCGTAGACGGGCGTGCCCGACGTACCCGTAGACGGGCGTGCCCGAAGTATCTGTAGACGGGCGTGCCCGACGTACCTGTTGACGGGGGTGCCCGACGTACCTGTAGACGGGAGCGCCCGACGTACATGTAGACGGGCGTGCCCGACGTACCCGTAGACGGGCGTGCCCGAAGTATCTGTAGACGGGGGTGCCCGACGTACCTGTAGACGGGGGTGCCCGACGTACCTATAGACGGGGGTGCCCGACGTACCTGTAGACGGGCGTGCCCGACGTACCTGTACACGGGCGTGCCCGACGTACCTGTAGACGGGCGTGCCCGACGTACCTGTACACGGGCGTGCCCGACGTACCTGTAGACGGGCGTGCCCACGGCGCCGTGGTAGAAGAGGACGATGATGGTCGTGTCGCCGGGTATGGTCGGCCGGACGTCGCACGGCAGCACGGCGCGCTCTCCCGCCACGGCCGTGACCTCCGACAGCGGACCTGACAGAGCGGGTGAAATGGGGCCTTTGAGACCTGGTCTAAATTCCAGGAAAAAAATTAATGTAGCCTCTATGTAGGTAATTCAAGAAAAAAATATATATATATAGGCATCGTGAACCATCGTCGTGAACCAATAAATATAGGCATCGTCACGTGTTTGGGTTCTTCAAGTCAAAGAAATCGTAAGGAAAACAGGAAAAGAATAAATAAATACTGGCATCGTGAAATTTATTTTTTTTCGGCGTCAAGTATATGGATACTTCAAATCATTTAAATCGTAAAGAAAACAGGAAAAGAAGAGATAAGTATTGGTATCGTGAAATTTGGTTCACGGGGGTCACGTATTTTGGTTCTTCAAGTCATATAAATCGTAAGGAAAACAGGAAAAGAATAAATAAATGTAGGCATCGTGAAATCTAGTTCACGGGCGTCAGGTATTTGGGTTCTTCAAGTCATATAAATCGTAATGGAGAGGTAGTTAAGGATACATATGGCTAAATCAAGGTCCCACTCTCATGATTTGATGGAACTATATTGATTTTGATTTTGCGAAATATTCAGCGACCATCTTCTGAATCACCATCCATATCTAATGCGCACCAGATTTCTGATACATTCATAACAAATCATTCATGTTTACTCAAGTCAATACATAAATAATGTCGGATTCTTATAGCAATTGTATGTTTGTTTAATATAATTTTAAGTTGGTTTAAAGTCCGTAGATAATTTTTGATTGATTATAGTTTTTAGTTCCAATTATCGAATTTACAGAATTTACATATTTTTCGAGGGTCAACCATCTTTATACTGTTTTAAAATTAGAAAGCGCAGTGAAAGAAGACGAGATCTCCCTAAACGGTTAAGAATCTCAGTAAAATGGCATTCACAGCAACAGGCTAAAGAAAAAAGTGTTCCTTCCGTACAACATCTCCAGGAACATTTTTATCTGTTGTTATAGTAGAGCTCCCTGGAGGGGATTTTATAGCTGATATCTGAAGACATTTTGTGCTATTTTTGCTAGCGATATTTTTTCATCGTCTTCAAGAGATCTTTTGCTCGCGTCTGCATTCAGTTTATCTTCAGATCGTTTGTTGGCAACCCTTTGGTGGAGATTTTATCGATGTTATCTTTAAACAATTTGCTTACTGCTCGCTGCAATCATGATTAACTCAAGCAGAAATAAAATTTGCTTTTAGATCTCTGTTGATGCTTTGCTGACAGACCGAGATAACTGTGATTTTTACCTACACTAATTATATTAAAGATGACCGAAGAATTTCGAAAAGAAACGAAATTTAGTTTCGATGGAAATAAGAGAAGGTATGTAATAATGTGGTTGCAACGATGCTTTTCATTTGATTCTATGTCTATCAGCATTGCAAGTTTATGCTGTAAATATTCTCATAAAATATTTTAGTTTTATCTGTAGTCGTTCAGGTTGGCCATTAAATTCCACTAATTATTATTATTTCAAGTCAGTAGAAATACGCGAAGTTCCATGAATGGCAAGCAGTGAACTGAAGAGTACAGATTGGGGCATAAATGGAAAATGATATGGACATTCAACAGAGATAACAGTGATGCGCCAGCAGCGATGTGTTCGAAATGAATAACCTGCAAAGGTCTGCAAATAAATATGTGTTAAGAGCGATGGGCTCACAAAGATGTGCTCGCAGCCATGTGCTCCCAATTATGTGCTCACAATGATGAGCAGCGATGTGCTCACAGCTATGTGCTCCCAACTTCATGCTCACAGCCATGTGCTCACAGCCATGTGCTCACAGCCATGTGCTTATAGCCATGTGTTCATAAATATGTGCTCATAAATATGTGCTCACAATGAGGTCCAATGAGGTCACAATGAGGTCCCAATGAGGTCACGTACAATGAGGTCCCAATGAGATCACGTACAATGAGGTCACAATGAGGTCACGTACAACGAGGTCACAACGAGGTCACAACGAGGTCACAACGAGGTCACAATGAGGTCACAATGAGGTCACAATGAGGTCCCAATGAGGTCACGTACAACGAGGTCACAACGAGGTCACAATGGAGGTCACCTACAAGATGTAATATTCAAGAATTAAACTTGTAAGTAAACCCAACGAAACTTTAAATGTAGCTCTTTGTAAAAAAGAAAGAATTAAAACGCTATCTTTAATACTTTTTACTTTGTGATTTTTTTAAAAGAGTAAGTTCCCACGCCGCACCCTGTACAACGAGGTCACAACGAGGTCACAATGAGGTCACGTACAACGAGGTCACAACGAGGTCACAATGAGGTCACGTACAACGAGGTCACAATGACGTCACGTACAATGAGGTCACAATGACGTCACGTACAGTGAGGTCACAATGAGGTCCCAGTGACGTAACGTACAATGAGATCTCAATGAGGTCACGTACAATGAGGCTCACAATGAGGTCCCAATGAGGTCACAATGAGGCTCACAATGAGGTCCTAACAATTACCCGTGATACGTTCAACATAACAGGACTAAGCCTAACGAAGGCGTACATACCCTGCACCTCAGAACTAGGATTTCAGTCTAATTTCACACAAGGAATCAATACAGAAAATGAATAAGACAGAAACTCTGCACGTCGAGGTGAGCCATATTGTCCTGGATTAAATTCGCGCAGTAAATCCTGCCGACTTCTGGGGTAATCCAGGATTATTTTTTTAACACGAACCCCGTTTGGAAATAATGGTTGGTGAATGGCTGGCCACTGAATTGTTCTCAGTAGGAAGCTGAATATTCGATTAAAATTGCAGAAAAAGAAAGATTTAGGTCTTCTTCAGAGTGTCACACCAGAAGTAAGCTACAAAGTTTTTCGTATCAGTGAATGCAAATAGTTGGAAAACTGAAGGTGATTAATTTCTATTCTAATTTTAATTTGTGGTTAACTTGTCTCAAAAAACGAATAATCGAGCCAATTACTGTGTGTGGCACACAAACGCTGGCCAATCGTTGGTCCCCCATACCCAACCCATATACGAAGGCTGCGATTATTAACGGGCTAATTATTTGGTTATCGGGCAGATTTTTTATTTGACATCAAAACCTAATCAAATAAAGCTGAATTTTTTCTCTTTAACGAAATAAATGTCTGAAAGTCATTAACTATGTTTGCCAGCGCCGATTTTTCGTGACAGATTTTTGATATTGAATACTTGTGAAGTTGTTCAGTTTTTTAAATGGTTAGCAGTAATGAACATAAAATTCATTGCAAAAAAAAACGTGCAGGCATGATACAAGCAAATATATTATTCGATTACCTAGTGTCTTTGATGAGAGTTTTCTCAGATCTTTTTAATTGTACCACAATTTCAATTTTCCAGAGCCCTTCGGTCTCGCTTGACGCGCATTTCACGAGATCGAGAAGAACTTTACAGCAATTTCCTTACAACCTATTTCCTTGCATACAATTTATGTGTAATCAATTTACATTTAAAATACTTTTTTGCTCTAGTTTCCAAAAATAACTCGGTCGTGGGAGAATCTGGCTTCAATATATAATATCTTACAATTAAGAAATGAAATATGATCACCTGATATAAATATTACCAGATCGAAATAAGCGTAACGGATATTTATGAACAATTACTTTGGATTCACTCGGCAGTAAATTCATAAAGTTCTTAAACATTTTCATCCATAATGAAAAATATTGATAAAAATGTTTGAATAATTGAAAAAAACTTAGAAATTATGTTGCAGAAATTTTGACGACAATATTGTAAGCAAAGAAGCCCGACATGAAATTTTAATAATAATAATAAATAATGGCTCGCACATCAGAATTAATAGGTCAGCCTAAATACATACTATATTTTATTATTGAAACGAGAACTATACTATATTGAACCAACTATGCTCTCGCTCAGAAAAGAATACATAATTTTCAAAGTATCAAACTTTCTCTTTTAGTTGTGTATATTTGAAAATTGAACGGCGTTAGGGTCTCATATCGAGCAAAATACAACTTTCCTTGCAAATTTTTGGTTAAAATTCTGATGATTTTAGCATCAATATCTTGCATCATTATCCAAAATATGTCCAGTTAACGTTGTTACCGAAGTTAAATCCACGTCCATGCTAGTGAATAGTCAGAAAAATCCAGCGATTGATATTCGCAGCGAAAAAAAATTTAGAATTGATATTCTTAGCGAAAAAAAGTCCAGCGATTGAAATTCTTAGCGAGAAAAATCCAGCGATTGATATTCTCAGCAAAAAAATTCAGAAATTGATATTCTTAGCGAAAAAAACCCAGCGATTGATATTTTTAGCGAAAAAAATGTCGAAATTGATATTCATAGCGAAAAAAATCTAGCGATTGATATTCTTCGCAAAAAATCCATCGACTGATATTCTTAGCGAAAAAATCCCGCGATTGATATTCTTAACGAAAAAAATCCAGCGATTGATATTTTTAGCGAAAAAAATCTCGAAATTGATATTCATAGCGAAAAAAATCTAGCGATTAATATTCTTAGCAAAAAATCCAGTGATTGATATTCTTAAAAAAAAAAACAACTACGATTTATATTCTTAGCGAAAAATCCAGCGATTGATACTCTTAGCGAAAAAATCTCGAATTTGATATTCATAGCGAAAAAATCCAGCGATTGATATTCTTAACGAAAAAAAATCCTGCGGACGAAGCTCATTGGTCGTCAGAACACGTGCAGGTGTCGTGCTACGGGAGTCCATTACCACGATTGCCGTTTTCGGACCACGGCCTTTCCTAGGACACATTTCATGATAAATACGCGTCGTTCAAGGAGAACACTTCGAGATGACGTGACATTTGTCTGTGCTCGTGACGCACGGCTGGAGTGGCGCGCGAAAATGCAGTGAAATGGCGAGTGAGAAAGAGAAAATAGTTTTTACTCGAATCGGTTTCTATAAAGCATTTGATGCTCATTTGTTCTTTCTGAGTAATGTAGTGATGAATATAATTTTTGGAGGATAATAGGTACAAGTGGCATAATTGTAACCTGACCCATTTTGATTTTGGTTTGATATATTGAAATTATGACCATTTCCTCATTTCGAACGGGAACGTTTCGGAAATCAGCTGCGTCGAAAGTTCGAAAATTAAAAAATGTCGAATACAATAAATTAGAAGCTTTTACCTAAAGTTCTTTCCAATATTTGAATGATTTTATATTTCTCAATACATTCCAATTATAAAAAGTGGCTTCAGCAGTAATAATAAACTTGAATTTTTAATGCCTCGGTTTACCTGCTGGTGTTGATATCACGACTCGTTGCACTCCAGGGGCCATACTTTCAAAATTCGCCAAGTGAACGTAAGTACTTATGCACTATTTTCTTGTCTATGATTGGTGGATTTTGCTTGAAAGGCCGTCAATGATTATCTGATGAACTTACGATCTCTTAACTTTTTTTGAAAGTACAGGCCCAGTGCTGTAGCAGTTATGGTTTAGATCATCAATGATTATCTTTTGTAACTATTTCCGCTTATATCGGCAAGCTAAATGAATTCAAGTTATAACAAATTTTTGTAATTAAATTTGGTGTCATATAAAAGTTTTCAAAAGTTTCATAACAGTTTTTAGAACGAACTTCAAAATCGTAACTGCGTACAAATTAAATTAGGATTTAGAAACGTACGTATGCCGGAATTGTTTGTAAACTATACTAGATAATATATCGCCCGTATTTCGTGACTAAGTTTTTATTATTTACCAAAGTTTTTTGTAGAAACTGTTGTTGGGGATAGTACTAATTTAAATCATGTTCCAGTAATACAATTTTTTGCGTTTTGGTTTATTAAGAGATTTCCACAATTTAGGTTTTGCATACATCCTGAATATAAGTCATTCATGTTTAAAAAATACATGTGTGAAAACTCTGTGTCTTTTATGCGTACTAAACTTGCAAGAAGGCGTTCGAGTTACAACAGACGTTTCCTCCAGCACTATCGTCGATGAGCTTCTATCTCTTAAAATATAAAGCAAAATCTGAATTTACCTATGAAATCTATTTAATTTAGCAAGCAGAAGATTTAGTAGCCAAAAAAACCTTGAGCCTGCTGCTCGCTGAACTTCTCTAAAAATTCAGAGAATCCAGTCGTTAAAAAAATCCTAAGATGCCGACCGAATTCCTTGTTTACGAGCAGCTTTTAAAATATTTTGCTATTGCGTTAAAAAGCACAAGCCCTAAATAGAGTATAATATCAATGTTCATTAGTAACATTCAGGGACTGGAAATATTGAATAAAATTTAGCCAAAATTTGGTAGCATTGTCAAGTTCAATTGGCAATTACTACAAATTCCATTAATATTGCTCGTAAATTAAAAGTATGTTCCCCTAGGTTGCCCTAAATATAACTGTTATAAATAAGTTTCTTAGTGATTATATAATAGTTTTATAACAGTTATATCCAGGGCAACCTAGGGGAACATACTTTATTGCACGTATTTCTACTGGGAGCCTTTTTTTCTAGCAACCAATGCAACCAACTCTCAATAAAGTATGTTCCCCTAGGTTGCCCTGGATATTAAGCATCGAAATTTACGAATTATTATAGAAGACAATAAATAAGTCTAAATATTCCGCTGATACGGTTTTTTCATTTTTAACGACTGAAATGAGTCATCAGTCAGAAAAGTCAGTCAATGAAATATATTTACTCGACATAAAAGTTTTTGCCAATATTTATTAGCATTAATATGATGAGTTATTCTCTCCTTAAAGTTTGAAATTGAGTTAATTTTCAGCGCTTTTTGGAGCCTAATCTTTAAACAGATGTCATAATTTGCAAGCTGTGTGATTGCTGCGAAAAGTTTATTAAATACTTTCTATATAACAAAGTAGCGAAAGAATTAACATCAGATCAGAATATAATATTTTTCCATGTGTGTGTTTTCCAACCTGCGGATCTAAGTTGTTCATATAAAGTCAACGAGTTAAATATAATGGTTATTCATGAGAAATGATCGAGTTAAATAAAACTTCCATTCCTGCGGAGTGGACTAATTAAATACAACGGTTATTCACGGGGAGTAAAGGAATTAAATATGATTATCATTCTATCATTCGCTTTATACCAGTAAACCACACGCTCTTGACAATTTAGCTAATTGAGTTATTTTACTGCGCTTCTAACATCATCATTATTTATCACTATTTCATTTCATTTCAATATTTTAGAGTTCAAATGGTCTACTCTACACCGAAGACAACGCATAATATTGTACATATTTTTTGCACCCCGTATTAAGATTTCAACTAGACTCGAATGAAATCCCATGAGCTCAACTGGCTTGAAAAATAAACATGCGCAACAATTTATATGTAATTAACGCTCCTCTAATTAATTATTGCGCTATTAATGGTGTAACCATAATTATAGTATGGATAATAAGCGTGTGATCCGTCATGCAAATGCATGACAACGCTAAACATGACACCGGCTCGGTCCCAACACAGCTATTATATTCCAATGCCGTTCTGGGTATTAAAGAACATGTTGCTTGAATTTTTGAGATTGGCTGTAAAATATGACATTTTTGAAAAATTTAATCCCTTGGTTTCGTTTCTGATAAAAAGAAGTAGTTCGAGAAAACTTAAACTAGTTTAGGTATAATAAATACGGATAAATATAGAGATATACGTTGCTACGAAAAGAGGCTATTCGAAGTTATGTAAGGTTATAAAAAAACTTCTCTGTCGATTCCTGATGAAACTACAGGTGAACGAAAATCTTTTATATAAAAATTTGCAAAACCTCCCGTAAACTACATGAAAATGAAAAATGATGAAATTTTTTTCGCTAAACCTATCAGACAATCTTCAGAAAAACCTGCCGAAACAATCCAATCATCCATTTCTCCCAGTGCATCATCAGGCTTTTCGATGAAAAATTGGAAAGCTAAACTGACTGACTTGGTCTGTGAGATGTAGACTGAGGAGGGGCGGAATGGAGGTCGGCCAGGCTGGCAGACAGACATTCAGACAGGCTGACAGACTGGCAGACAGACTGACAGACTTCCGTTCCAAGGAACCATAGGGGACAGACTGCTTGGCTAAGTGTGTCATCTTTGTGTCTCATCTTTACCTATGTACCGCGCCCGTTTCGCGCCTGAAAAGAGCGAAAAAAGCCAGTGAAAAAATTTGAACTGTGCCAGTATTGTCAAGAAATTGCATGGCAAAAGTTAATTAGAAATATATGTACTTTACCTACCTAATAATAATCATGTATGATCTGATAAATATTTTTAAATCTCCAAATTAATTAGATAATTGAATCAGATGTCATCTTTTCGCAAAAATACACGAAAAGAAAATATTAAGATTAAGAGATACTTTTAATACCAATCGAAAGTCTTGATAAAGGTTAATATAAGTAAATTTATTTGTAATATTTGTAAAATTCAAATTTAATTCACATTGAAAGTCAGGAAGAGCATAACAAATCGTATGATGAGGGTAATTTTTAATGTAAACTTAAATTTGTGAAAACATTGTGGCACTTGTAAAGAAATGAATTTAAACCGAATATATTAATTCATTGAATTCATTAGTTGAAAAAACAGAACATCAGAAGTTCTACGTTCTTCGCTGTCCCTTATTAATGTGTGTCCGATTGATGTGAACCCTATCGATGTGTCCGAATATTAAGGATGTAAAAACACACTCAAATGAACTTAAATTCATGTCATTTACTAAGAAATATATTGAAAAAAGAAATTACATGGTTTTAAACTAAAAAAATTTGAAATCTTTCAGATACAATTTTTTATTCTAATTATGACCCTTTAGACTTTTGAACATAAATTCTTGATCATTCATAAGTACAAACTGTAAAAAAGTAAATGGGTTAATATCCTGGAATTTTTAATAGAAATTAACCGAAATATCGTCCATTAAAGCCTACGATAGATTAGTTCATTTTCATAATTTTTAATTTTTTATAATTTTGTAGTCGTTCCTGTAATTTTTTCCAGATTAGAAAGAAAATTTTAGGTTAAATTGATTATCAAAATAGTATTTTTCTTTTTCTCAGTATTGCATATTACCAAAAAAATAATATTTGAACCCAAGCAATTCGCATACTTTTTTATACCTGAATTTTCATGGGCGATTCAAATCCCGAATTTATTTCTTCAAAGATTCCCAAAACATCCAAGATCATTAAAAAAATAGTTTCAACTTTTAAGTTTTCTCTTAAATAATAACCAAAAAGCAACTTGCTCCACATGTTCGCCAGTAACATTCAATGCGGCGGAAATGTTCATTAATAATCAAATTAATTATCCCTGAATTAAATACAAACTTTTTGTTAATAATCCAAGAAATTAACTACAAGTATACATTATTTATTTGGTTATTTTCACGATGCTGGGATTTTTTTTGCTGCGCAAAATGAATTTTGGCCGCTGATTTATAATGCTTTTCCTACCGGTGCTGCGTTCTTACAAACTATTCAGGGAAAGGAAGACCTTAATTAATTTCGAACACAAAAAGTTTGCTCGCTTTTGAGTAAACTTGATGCTCACCTAACCCGCACCTAACCTGAACCTAACCTGAACCTAACCTGAACCTATCCGGAAACTATCCTGAACCTAACCTGAACCTAACCCGAACCTAACGTGAATCTAACCCGCACCTAACGTGAATCTAACCGTACCTAACCTGAACCTAACCTGCACCTAACCCGCACCTAACCCGCACCTAAGCCGCACCTAACCCGCACCTAACCCGCACCTAACCCGCACCTAACCCGCACCTAACCTGAACCAAACTTGAACCTAACAAACCTGAAACTATCCTGAACGTATCCAGCACCTAAGCGAGGAATTTTTCCTCCCCTAAAGGTTCCTCCAAGATGCAATCCTATCCAATCTCCAGCTTTATTGGATCATCTCTCCGCTCTTTTGCGCCTGCTCCACACTGCTCGCGAAAAATTGCTCAAATGAAAAAAGGTAAAAAGGGACGAAAGCATTAACTGTTGTAGAAAATCTGCGAGTAAAACGTTCACAACATGCAAGATGAAACAGCCAACGCAGGTTCTCATATACCAAACATTAAGCAATGTTGTTACGATGTTTCTGCGTTTGTCGGTGCCGCTCAAAGAAATTGGTGAGTCTTTTTCCAAATAGCGATGCACTTATTGAAGCTATGTGGGTCATCCTGACCCAGTTTGGACCGGAAAAAGTTAGTATCAGAGCTACGTTCGTTCTCTACTAGTGCGGTGGGGAAGAAAATGTATCACTATTTAGAAAATTGCGCTTTCGTTTTTCTGAAGGTGATATAATGACGAAATCAAAGTTTACATTATGAAAAATTACACTTTGATCAGAGATATAAATTATGGAAGATATTTCTCAAAAATTTTGAAAGAGCTTAAGTGATTTCTTCTTGCCATCTGCAGGGTAACTATAACGAGCGTTGCCAATGCCATCAACTTTGAGAAACAATCTGGCAATGAAAGATTATTTCACTTCTTAAGATGTGCACATATTAATCTCTGTTCATTTTTCACGAGGGAAAATCAACGTGGTTGGTTGAATTTCAACATTAAACACGAAATTTTTCCCTGAACAACATACATGGTTGAAATGCATTCATATAAATAAAATAAATTAGATAGACAATTATATTAAATATCTGGTGAACTCAGTACAATTAAAAAAGATTATTCAATCTCTTGTACAATTTTCTATTATCGTAATGGCCGGCAAAATTCATCAAATTTGAGAGATTTCTGTTTCTAGATCTGCCCGTGCATCCTTATTTTTTCGGACCTCCAAAAATATTTTAATAATTATCCGTGTTAATGACGGCCGAAGAACAGCCAATTTCACTGTCTATTTATATAAAAGAGAAAATTTCATCAGGTTAAGGTATCGTTTTGAACGATAAATGGGATAAAATAAGAATGTATTTTAAAATCGGATGAAATAAAACGGTCCAATTAAAACTTTAGATTTTATTTCATACATTACCTGATGAAAATATTATAATTCGAAGCGTAAGGAATATTTTACGATTAATCTGGAAAAATTATGAATTATAATTGCTAGTTAATCATCTCAAGCATGCGCACTGAAATGTAAAAAAAGCAGAATCGCAAATGAAAGATTTCGTTGCGGTGGCTCATTAATAAACACGTAAAATGTTACGTTCTATAATCCATATTTATTCAGAAGCAAACAGAGCATAAATTACTTGTGTTCGACCATGGGAGTTCTGCATAATCAGGCATTCGATGGCAGAAAGTTTTTCTTGCAGTTTTTTAGCTCCTTATTTACGACTGCGCGACATCGGTTATTGGAGGCGCCGCTGACGAAACATGCAAAGATTTTCGCAAAGCGCCACCCCGCGAGGCAGTTGTTGGGGAAATTTCGTTCTCAACTGAATTATTCATGCAAGAAGCAAAGGTATTCTATTCTCAGTGTGTATCATGATACTGGTCTCTCCACGGCACGGTCTGTCGCGCCAAAAGAAATTCCCAGCGGGAAGTAATGAGAAGAAACAGAATTTTAAAATGCTTGGAATTTCATAGCAAGAATGCGTGTGAATGTTTTACTGCCTTTGGTTTGAGTTTTAGGCCTAATGCATTTCTACAGCTGAGCATTTTTTTGGAAGTTTAGCAAAAATTCTGTTCAATATTTTAAATTTATTACTAAACAAAATTGCCTAAAAGTAAGAGATTTCAGGAAAATCTTCTTTGTATGCGTGTACTTTGTTTTGAAATTGCAGTTCATAATTCAATTTTGTACTTTCATGTGACCTTGGATTTGGATTAAAAAATGCAACTCATTCCGTGCAGCAATACATTTCAGCAACATTCTCATAAAAAAATTAATGGCCTATCAGTGTTGCCTGAAAATGTATGGTGAATTACTGAAGTTTTTTATTTGATTTTTTTATTGTGAATGAAGGTACAAAAAAATACTGCTGAAAATGGCGCTGGCGGAAAGGTCAAAAGGTAGTATAATGTACACATCGAATTATAACATTTAAACAAACATCATATTTATATTAGCCTTTTTTTCATCAACCTCATTATTACACATAATGAAAATTTGTCATTCGTATTTTGCATTTGTATTGTTACAAGATAAAAAATATCCAAAGCCAATTGATTTCTGCACCTCCTACTGTCATCATTTAGTTACCAGGAATTGTTTTACTCGGGTTAAGGTTCGATACAATGTCAAAACATGAGACTGATATTTATAAAACCACAGTGGAATTGATTTATCTACCTACCATGATATCCGATGTGGCTGCTTTGTGAGCTTGTTATGTTCGCAAGTCAAATTAGCCTGTGAGACGAATTAGTCTCGATCGTTTATTAAATGTCTGCGGTTTGGGAATGACAATAAAAATTGCATCTTTATTATCTGAATGCCAATTTATGTTGTCTTCAAACAAGAAAGTGCGAGTAACTTGCGAGTAACCAGGCGTCTATAATATATGCTTATTATTACTCCTGATACATCTAGTCATGATTGAAACTAAAAAATATATTCACGTAAATGTATGAAAAATCCTCTTTTATTTACTAGTTTGCAAAAAAAAAAAAACATTCATTTGCTTGTTAATCTTGAATTGTGAGGAAATTTCCCAGCAATCTATAACAGAATCTTTTCTCGCTAAACAAAATGAAGATATCAGAGCAACCTTTCAATGACCGCTCTACATTGCTCGATAATTCCTGGAAAACTCCAGTTTCAGGCTCCACTCGCCGGAGTAAATCATTTCTACGCGATTTAGGCCAGCCATCAATCAGCGTCGCTGGCTTGTTACATTTTCAAAAGTCGTAAATTTTTTCGTATGAGGCGCCTGAACTTTCTGGTGTAATTGATCGTAGCGAGAAGCTTCAAGTGCTATTAATGGGCTTAATTGAACTTATGTATGGACTTGTGAATTAACGGAAGAACTTGATTTAGTACAAGAAACATTGCCTACAGAATTGAGTAATTTTTTCTTTGGTAATAAATTATTAAACGATACTTTCCAATTTTGCAAAAATGTCATTTCCATTTGGTCGTGGAATTTCGGCTTAATACATTTAGAAGAAAAAAGTACGAATTGACAGAATCTCTCACAATCCTTAATGAAATATTACCT